GTAAGATCAGATTCTGGGTCCGGTTGTGAGTTCCATGTAGCCGGAATTTTTGAGTTCCTTGAAAGTTTGCAGCTCATCTGTTGCTAATCGTCTTTATTAAACTGACAGAACCAGATCTCTTTCAGAACTCAGCGCTTTGGGATCAGAATTCGTCCTGTCTTTCATCAGAGCTGTTGGAGGGGAACGGCATCCTCGATGTCTTCCTCAGGTCTTCCGGATGTTTGTCATTGTGGCGCGAGCTTTCCCATTAGGTAAGATACAAGACATATTCTTCATTTTGTCTAGCATTTTAAACAGTACTTCAAATTATGTGACAAAGGGCTTGAAATGCCTTTTACCGACGGTACTTCCTCATCATGATACAGTAGCGGTCAAAAGGGCTCGTCGAAACAGTTTTTTGTGCATTTCTTTTCTTTTGTCAAGGACAGAGCTAGTCCAAGAAATTTTTCTTGCGAGTGTCTTAAATACTTGATGCTCAAGGATTGAAACACTAGAATACGTAGCTTATTTATATCTGAAGTGCGTTGCTCGAATGAGCAAAAGCACAAAGTTCGGTTCGGAAAACACCTCTGGCAGCTACTGTATGTCTTCAAAACAGTCTGGATGGGTCTAGAACACAGCTCGACTCTGTAGGCCAATGCTTCAGTTATGAAAAAGGTTATCTTCTTGGTCTTCATCCGTCGATGCAAAATATCAACCAGTCTTTACCACCCATGTTTTCCTAGATCGCACTTTCATTTTTTCACCCTCTAAGTATTTGTGATCATTGTTTATCGCCTGAATTCTTGAAAGATTTGCACACTACGGTCAATTTCATTGCTCTCGTTTCGATATTATCAATGTGCCGGATTCGTGTTATATTCAGGACCACTTGTGGAAGATATGTTCGAACTGGTTGCCTGCTATTTCCCAGTTGAATTCAAACAGGTAATCTCAGAACTCACTGCTTTGCTCATGACCTTAGGGGGGGGGGGGGATATTCAAAAGAGGGCCTGGCAGGTGATACTAGGACTAATCCCAGGAGAGGAGAGAAGCGTCAAGAAGAACATGAGAAGCTCACTTCACCTTCCGTCTCCTACTTCCTCCCCTTCCACCTCCCTCCCCTTCTCGCCAACGAAGTTAGCGCCGTTACTAGCCTGCAGCCTTTCGTATGCAATATAGAAGCACCTACTTGAGTTCGAGTGCTTCTATATTGCATAGAGTGTACAGTGGGCACCTGGTGTGCAGAATTATGCTTCATGAACGCATGCATCATCGAGTGAAGAGGAGGCTGTACTGGGAAGGGATTGCGTCGGCTCATAAGAATTGCATCCCTCACTGGATGAATGAACCGTCTTGAAGGAGAGCTTCTCTTCACTGTCGACGCTACTCAAACATATCTTAAAAATAAAAAACAGCTCAAGAATCTGCTGATCGGGGATGCTTCCACATAATCTGCGCCCCCACCTATCTTTGAATGACCGGAAGAGTGTGAGAGATTGAACTCCTCCACCTGTACCTGGATCACCGCAGTACCCTTATCCCATAAAATTATTACATCCATCTCACTATACATTACTTCGCATTGAAACAGCTCACCATCCTGATTTCCTTTTGCTCTTTTATCCTCAGATATCTTTTCCCTCGGGGAGAGGTTCCAAAACCGGACTTTATGGTTATTCTTGGAAGAGAATTCCACAGTAAGTTTGAAGGGGGAGGGAAAAGTATACCTCATTGAAAGGCAGACGGCCCCCTTATGGGTGCTGGTCAATGCGCCCGCTTCGCAGCGAGATGTATGTCCCCAGCGGCCTAGCAGGGCTGTACCCGCGCAGCTCGTACCTCTGCATGCTCGCCGTGTAACGCCTTATCGTCTGATTCTAGCCTGATAGCAGAAAGAGCGTTAGCGTTGAAGGGCAGCACCGATGAGAGTCGCATCAATGCGGAAATCAACGGGCAAGAAAGGGTCCCATTTCTCGGGTTCTGGGCCGTTTCTAATGGTTTTTCTTCATCCCTGCACCACTGAATACCTCTACCTTGACTTTTAATGGGCTACTCTCATCGTGAACTACGCCTTTGAGGTGGCACCCAAAATTGGGATCCTGTGGCATATCTCCTGAATGTTGTCGAAAGCTTTTCGTTTCCCTGTTATCGAATTCCAACACTCTTCTTGAAGACAGTACATACATGCATTTTAGAGTATAGTGAAGGTTGGGGGAGGAGGACATTGCAGTGCGAATTTTACAGGCCACTTGTTTAGTTATTCCGGCTTCGTTTGGCCTCCCCTCTTCCTGATCACGGGTTAACCGACCCTATAAGTAATTTCACCGTAACGTTGCGTATGTTAAATCTGTACAGCTTTGTCATTTAATAGAGCTATATTTGCAGAGTTTATGTTTTACAGCCTTCGGGTGACGTTCCAATCACGCAGGAACTATTGGCTCAGGGATGTCTACGATGTTTGATAGCTCATCCGGACTTCGGTCCCTTCTGCTATATGCTCATCGAGGAGAAGTTCACTGATGACGAGTGTACTGTTGAGCAAAAACACGAAACTTGTGAATTGCTGGTACTGGCTGGAATTTCAGATTCTTGTTTCTCGCTCACACTGCTCGGAGGCACTTAATTTAGGCCGAAGCAGCCCATGTGTTCCGACCAGAAGATATTGTCGATCATCTGGAAACGATCCTAGGTGGACTACGTGCCGCCGGACTTAATCCTAAGTGTGAGCTGTATTCTAATTTCTTGGTTGCTCAAGCTTTACTTTTATTTCCTTTAGTTGAGCGATGGCTAGTCAATTTGGTGTGAAAATCGGTGTGAAAAATGAAAGCAAAAAAAAACCTGTGTTGTTTCCACGTTTCGAGAATCGGAGAGGTTCCTCAAAGCTTCTGCTTTGATAGAAAGCAATGTTCAATTAAAAAGGGAGGTCTTTCAGGACATGGAGCGTTTTTTCGAAATGGTTTTCTGCATGTTGTAGGGGCTCATGCGAGGAACACAGAACCATGATCCTTCCTGAACGCCTCCAGGAATGCCAAAACAGTGTGAAAAAGAAATGGTCCAGAGTTCGATCCCCGGTGATGACTAATTTTTGCAATATAGTTTGGCGCCCCCAGATTGCCGCCAAATGGCGCCATCGTCGAGAATAGATGTCATTGTCGTGTTTTGCGGCAATTTGGAGGCGCCAACATAAATTGCAAAAATTTGTCATCACGGAGGATCGAACTTTGGACCATTTCTTCCCCGCTGTTTTGACATTCCTGGGGCGTTCAGGAAAAATGGACCATGGTTCTGTGTTTCTCATGAGCCTCTACAACATTCAGGAAACCATTTTGAAAAAAACGCTCCATGTCCTGAAAGGACCTCCTTTGTAAGGGTGGAGCATCCTGCTCCATGTCCACATTGCTTTTATTCTCTCTCTGGTCCATCATGTTCCTATACAATTTCTTTTGTACCTCTTTGTGTTTTTCTCCCTGATCCTCTCCTTTGTTCTATCGTCTTCTTTGTACACATTGCTACCGTATGATATCACATCCCTCTGATTCCTTACCAGAACTTCATCGTTTCGATCTTACAATGGTGCTAGTTTCAAAGCATTTCTGGAGGATGCGCCTTGCTAGCGATCACCGCAAGTTTGCCGATCTGTGGAAGGAAAGCAATAGGAAATATGCAGTATTATCGGTTTCCATATTTCCTTATAATACCTGATTGCAGCTGAAATGCCCGACTGTGTCCCACGAGCGCTAGCAGCAGTAACACGCGCACTGAGTAATGGCAACACAGATCCTGTCATGAAACTTGGCTCTCAGCTGATTGAAAGTGAACTTTTTATGATATCATCTTGTCTCCTTGTCATTCCAGGATCATGAATTTCAGATCTTGAACCATTTGTTCTTCAAGCAGAAATGGGTCTCACAGAGCGAGCATTAACTTTGTTGCGTTGTGCTTCCAACGAAGGACCTGCCATTCGAAACATGATTTATGATCGCGTGATTCCTTGGATTCTTATGCTTATTCAAGGTAGTGTTGATGTGATTTTCTCCGATCTCCCAATTCAAGTGAATTCTTCAGGCGATGTCGTTAACGTGAAGGCGAACCGACTAGAGGTCTTACAAGAAGGACTTAACTGTCTAAACACCTGGACGAAGGCGATTCACGACAATGGATGTGGTTGGTAGGAATGGTTTTCATAGGAATTATAGGGTTTAGTAGTCAAAATGATACTCAGGTCATTACGGTGGCCGGAGAAAGCTGTCTCTAGCAATAACGACGCCAAATCTTGTCACGAACGTGCTAAAAGAAAAGCTCATCAGAAATACCTTGAATAAGCATAAGAATCCAAGGAATCACGCGATCATAAATCATGTTTCGAATGGCAGGTCCTTCGTTGGAAGCACAACGCAACAAAGTTAATGCTCGCTCTGTGAGACCCATTTCTGCTTGAAGAACAAATGGTTCAAGATCTGAAATTCATGATCCTGAAATCAACAAGAAGACAAGATGAT